GTATACTTGTGAATTTCCAGTTCTCCTTGTTATTGATCTCTAGTTTTATTCCATTGTGGTTGGAGATAAGTTGTACTATTTCCATTTTTAAAAATTTATAGAGATTTTTTTTGTGGTCTAACATACGGTATATCCTGGAGGATGTTCCATGTATATTTGTGAAAAATGTGTATTCTGCTGTTTGGGGCTGGAATGTTCTGCCTGCTAGGTCTGGCTGGTCTAAAATACTGTGAATCCTCCATTTCCATATTCACTTTCTGTCTGATTATTCTATTATTTATTGAAAGTGGAGTATTGAAGTCTTCAACTATTTTTGTAAAACTCTATTTCTCCCTTCAATTCTATCAATTTTTGCTTCATATATTTTGCTTCATATATTTCTTTGTTTTTAGGTGCATATATGTTTATAATTATTATCTCTTCTTGATGGATTGAACCTTCCTTTGGTATATAATGTCCTTCTTTGTCTCTTAAAACAGTTTTTGACTTGAAAGGCTAATTTGTCTGCATAGGCATTCTAGCTCTCTTTTGGTATGATTTGCATGGAATATTTTTTTCCTTTCTTTTACTTTCAATTTATTTCTGTCTTTGGATACGAAGAGAACCTCTTCTAGACACCATGTAGATGGATCATTTTTTGTTTGATTTTGAGGTTTTGTTGTTGTTTGTATCCATTCTGCCAATCTCTGCTTTTTAATTGGACAGCTTAAGCGATTTACATTTAAAATAATTACTAATAAGGAAAAGACTTCTTCCACTTTGCTATCTTTAAATATGTTTTACGCATCTTTATTTGGCCTTCAATCCCTCCACTACTGCTTTTTGTTTAGTTTGAGATTTTTTTAGTGCCATTTTGGTTTCCTTCTCATTTACATTTTTGTATATTTTTTAGTCATTAGTGATTTCCCTGAGGATTACAATTAACACATTAAACTTATAATGATCTAGTTTTAATTAATACCACCTTGAATAGTACACAAGAGCCCTAAATCTATACGGTTCTATTCCTCTTAATGTTATTGTCACAAATTACATCTTTATACATTGTATTCCTGTTAACATATATTTATAATTACTGGCTTATGTATTTGTCTTTTAAATCATATAGGGAAAGAAGAGGAGTTACAAAACAAAAATACATACTGGCCCAAAATACGTAATTCTACTGACCTTCATATTTACCAATATAGGTACCTGTGCCAGCATCCTTTATTTCCTCATGTAGCTGTGCATTATTATTATTTTTTATTTTCTTTTGAGACAGTGTCTCTCTGTCACCTGGGCTAGAGTGCCGTGGTGTCAGCCTGTCTCACAGCAACCTCAAACTCCTGGGCTCAAGGGATCCTCTTGCCTCAGCCTCCTGAGTAGCTGGGATTACAAGAGTTTGCTGTGCATTGGGAGCAGGTGGGCCCCCCTCCTGAACCCGCACCGCAATCACCAGGCACCACAGTCCACCCGAATTCCGTGGCCAGCTGTCCACCGAGAGCTGGGCGGGGGCTGGATCCTGGCAGACGCGCTGGTGTGGGAAGCAGTTCCGGGGGCCACTAACCGCCCTTCGGGAGCCACAGACACAGGCTGGAGAACCGGGCTCCATGCAGGGCACGCGCGGCGTGCGCCGCCCCGGGTGCGAAGCTGTCATCTGCGCACACACCCGGTCTCGCCGGAAGCTGCGACTGGCGGGGGCCTTCCAGCGCTCGAGACAGACGAAACGTCGGAGGACCCCAGACCCAGCTTGCCCCCGGCCACTGCCAGTCTCAGCGCCCCCTACCCAGGTGTCGCCCACGTCGCGGCCGGGCCTCACGCCAGGCTTCACACCTGCCGGCCGCTGGAGGGCTCCACGGAGAAGCCCGCTCGAGTGGAGGGAGGTCCAGGGACATCAGAGAAATGCCCCCTGGTGGTAGGGAGGCTCAGGATACCGCGACCAGAGGGAAACGGCCTCCTCCTGCGTCAGTCCTGGAGGAAGGTTGTGAGAAACGAAGAATGCCCCGGACGCTGCGTGAGTAGACGGGACGCCGCAGAGGGAAGAACGGGTGAGCCTGAAGGTTTGCCACGGGAACTTCCCCAGCTGAGAAGCAAAGAGGAAAAAGAATGCAAACGTGGAAGAGAACACCCAACAACTCTGGGACAATTAGGAAGGGTGTAACGGGAACACCAGAAGGAGAAGGAAAAGACAGAAGAGCAGAAGAGATATTTGAAGTAATAATGGCTGAAAATTTTCCAAAATTACGGGGGCGAAGCCACGGCCCAGGAAGCTCAGGCAACACCAAGAAGGATAAATCCTAAAAAATCTACACCTAGACACATCACATTCAAACTAAAGAAATTCAAAGGCAAAGAGAAAAGTCTTGAAAGAAGCCAGAGAGGGAAAACCCCGCCTTTCCTCTGGCTTGGCTGTGGTGACGCCCACGGATTCGGAGGGGAGGGCTGTTCTCATGGACCAAATGCTGCTCTCAGGGGGAACTTGTTAACCTAACGGCTTGGGTTTTGCCAGAGTCTACCTATCAGCGCCGACGTCCGGAGAGGCTCGGGTGGGTCCGCGCGGCTGCCGTCCGCGCGCTCAGGAGGGTGTGCGCGCCCTCCACCCTGCGCGCGCGGCCTGCGGCAACTGCAGGGGGAAGGACCGACGCGGGCACTCTGAGAGGCTTGCTTGGCAAATGTTTAATGATCTGGCCAAATCGCAGCTGCCCCCACAGCCCGAGTTCTTGACTTTCCTTGGGCATCACCCCTGTCCTCCCGGGAGCTCAGCCCCTCCTGGACGCAGCGCACAGCCCGGGCAGGTGGCCCGTACCTGGCTGCAGGCCGCGGCAGGTGTGTGCCAGTATGCGGGGGGGGGGGGGGCAGCTGGGCAGGGACAGAGCACGCCGCCCTGGGGGTGTCCCGGCCGTCACAACACTGGTGGGCCGGCCAGCGTGGCCACAAGGACAGTGAGGGTGGCCCCCAGAGCTGGGGACAGGGAGGGCCTGGGCTGAATAGGAAGGGGTGTCATTTTTACGTTGTAATGTATCCATTTGGAAAAATAGGACACTCGGGCGTACACTCCCGGGTACAAAGGGTAGGCGCAGCCGCGGCCCCAGCTCACGATTCCAATCTGCAACCAGATGCGGTTGAATTCACAGACCAGTGGGCCCCCCGAGTCACCCTGGAAAGGAAGAGGGGGTCTTCTGTGAACTGGGGAGTACAGGCCCTGCCGGACGGGGGCCAGTGCCCCACACTCACACAGCCTTCTCCCTGGCTGCAGCACGGCCCAGAGCCAAGGGC